TTAAAAGAAGGTATTAAATTATGTACTATTGATAAGTGCTACTCCAGAACAGAATAAACCACTGTTTCGATCAAATTCTACTATCCTGTGGACTCCACATTTTTTTTTTCTTTTTTTGTTCATAATGTAAACATCTTATAGTTCTATCTCAGCGAAGAAATGGTGATGCCATATATGTGCCTTTTTTTTCTTTTTTTTTTTTTGAATAGAAGAATCCAAACTGCAATTATTTTTCTTTCATTACTGGGTTGGCTATTCTTAGCAATCCCTTCTGGACCTCTCTCCATGTAAAAGTCTCTCATTGCGGCCATTTACAATAAATTATATGTGAATAATGAAACCATGAATGGAATTTGTACCAGTTGAAAACATATTATATAAACATTATGCTAAATTTAACAAAAAAGGACCAAGCATAGTACCATTATTGACAATCTGACGTTAGGGTAGTATGCATAATTTATATGTGTATACTGATTTCAGGTTTCTTACTCTTACTTTTACCTTATAATTTAGCGAATTCTCACTGATACTATACATCCTCAAAACATCACTTCGATTCTAATCATCCATTTTATAAGCTCAAGGAAACCTATCACCATGTAAAGAGATGAATTTTCCAAATCCTTACCACAATTAAGGAGTAAAATAAAGAATTTCTCTTGAATAATTTCAACAGCTGTAATCGTAAAATCCTATTAATAGCAAGCTATGCATATCATTTATGTATAAATGCTTAAAAAAAGACGAGAAACCCTTAACAGAGCTTAGAACATCCGATGATGAGACCTATCTCATGATTTAAAGAAACCGAAATTGACAAACTTTACATATAAATTTAATTCACTGTCTGCTTCAAAATACACACAGCACATATATTTGTCTTCCAATATTTAAGTACATTTCCATGGCAAAAAATACAGTCACGATGCCACTTCGGCACCGATCATTGCTGAAACGGTGCTGTATAAACCACTTGGCTCCTGTTTCCAATAAAGAAGACTTTATCAGATAATTGTATATATAAGCATATAGGTACAATAGTATTTATTCTTGCTATTGTTAGCATCTTATATATGCATATACATGTGTACCTATCGCTCAGCGTGTTTCTCTCAACGATTATCTGTGGGCTCTCACCCTGAGTATCCCTGACTCGAGAACACATCTATTTAACTGAGGCTCATCCATAATAACTGGCTCATTTACAAATAAGATAAACGCACATTCGCTTACATTTATAAGAGAGTCATGATGTAAGTGCGGCAATTCATTTCCTATGACGTAGTAGAAAAACAGCCTATTCTGATAATCCTCCATGATCCTGATGGTTGTGTTAATACTATGATTGCTGCTCCGCACTTGTTGCTTCTCAATGTTTCCATCAACGCTATACGGACTTTTTAATTTTCCCAAATAATAGGATAAATGGTCCTTTAAAGTGTGCACCGGTGTTTCGCCATGTCCGTGCAGTTTTATCCATCTGTCAAGCATCATCTTACTAAATAAATTATCACTCACCGATTTGATTATTTCATTTATATCTTCCCCTTTAAAGTTCTGAAGGACGATGTACTATTCTTCAATTAACTGACGTGGGTGAGACGAATTTTAGGAAAATTCATCTATTGTTCTTACACTTCTCTCTTGGTCTTCATATAAGTTTTCTATAATTTCCGAAATAAGGGGGTGCTAATGCTCTCTATGTAGTATTCTAATTTGGCTGTGGATTATTGTACAAGCCGTGTTCAATTTCAAGAAAATAGTCTGTGGATTCTTTTTCTGTTGTATTATCATTTCTCTGTGGAATATGCTGCTGGTTGTCCTTAATTTCGTCAGGATGGTGTCGTGCCATTCTTTGCCTATCCTCATTAAATATATATTCATTCTGGTTGGTGGGATATTCAGTTACAATTCATGGGTGCTCGTCGAAGAAATGTGCCATTCCAACAGTAACATTGGAAACATAGCCATGCTAAAATTTCATATTTTTCAGACAAGGAGAAGATTCTTAATATGTACTGCGCTTATTCTTTCTGTAGGTATATATTACGGCAGATGTCGGATTCAGTCCTATTCTATTAGATTTCTTATTTGATGACATCCTCACAAAAATAATCACCC